ACCTGAAATATTTCAGTTAGCGTGCAATAAATCTAAAACATATGAATGTTCCAGTTTTATCATTACATTATGGAAAATAATGACATTTATCACAATATGCAAATATTTTGAATAGGAACTGTGGCAAAACGTGTTACTGAGCCAAACTTAAAAGGCTGAGAGAAGATCTACTGTAAATTGAATCCTGGATAAATAGGTGTAATTTTAAGGAAATACAAATATATCATTCAATTAATTTGGGCTGAATAGAGAAAATTGTAAAAAAAATTAAAACAAAACCTTAAAATTCCCAAATTAACAAAACCTTCCAATCTATAGGTGTGAAAGGCAACCAAATAGACATTAGGTAGAAGAGTTACCATATAAGACGTGACATCCCCAGCTTTAGCAGACCTCTTCCATTCCTCAACTTTAACATGTTTGAATATGTTTACATAAGGATGCTGCCAATCTGAAATAATCAAAAGAGCGACAACACACATTATACTTATAAACAACTGTTAAACTACCGCAGTGTAAGCTGTTGTTAGAAGATATGGACTGAGCTGAGAAAGGAAAGGTTTGTTCTTACCTGCTGAGGCCATTGAAAGATGCTGTTAATAAGGCAACCTGTTGACGCTTCACTTTGTTATTTTGCTAGCAAACCTTCATTCAGTTTACGAAACAAACGGCGGGACAAAAGCTCCTTCTGTTTTTCTAAATTGGTTTATAAAATTATAACGTTTCGGACTCCATTCGTTATGAAAAATACTTTTCTACAGTTCTGACATTCTATGAGCCGCATTTAACTTTCCTTACTTCAGTCTTTATTTTTCTTCCCGCTTCAGCCTCCGCTGTTTCTAGGGAGAACGTGATTGACGTGACGACATGACGCAAGTTCAGAGGGATTCTGGGTAATGAAGTTTATGAAAGAACAAAAACCAAAGCGACAGACACATTTATTAAAGTAGAGAGATCTCATATTTTACTAAACCTTAAAAAGATTTTCACACTATTTCAAATTATATATTTATATATATATATATATATATATATATATATATATATATATATATATATATATATATATATATATATATATATATATATATATATATATATATATATATATATATATTGTTTTGTTTTGTTTTTTGTAAGGCTTTATTTTCCTTAACATATCTGCATATTGTGCATAATTTGGATTTCTTTTCTTTCAAAAAATAACATATAATCTTAAAATAGAAAATAAACTTGTAGAAACAAAATATTAGCAGTTCAGATTTTTTTAAATGCAGATAACGCTGTAAAATATCTACTTGTGGAACAGCTTCTTTTTGAATGTCAATGTAATGATAAGAAATAATTTGTTATCGGTTTTCACAGCAGTCTTTTCACTAGAAACTAGAATGCTACCAACTTGCTGCAAACAATATGTGGAGCTTGGACCCAGTGAAAATAATTCCTGAATTTTAAAATCTGTGAAAAAACTTAACATTTTGTAATAGGAGGTACCCATTAGGACCTAATTGCAAGGAGTCCTGCTATTGAATTAATGAGACAAAATAAATATTTAGGCCATAAGGACCTTAGTTATTTGCTATCTCACGTAAAGGAACACAATTTTCTTTTCTTGTGAAGAATGCATAGGACTCCAGCTACTTGGAATACATATTGTGATTATTAAAATACATCTTTACCCATGCATTTACAATGTAAATAGTCTGAATTTATGCAGCCTTTTTCCAGTCATACCAATCACTCAAAGTGCCCAACGCTAGAACAACATTCACATAATCACACAGACATCCATACATTGATATGCAGATTGGTATGTAGCCTTTCATTTTCCCCATTGCATCTGCTTAGAGAAGTTAAGCACCTTCTGCCTCATGTTGCTCCAGAGAGTCCCATTTATGCCTTCGTTATCTGTTGCTTGGATTTGTGTAACTCCTTATATTCAGGCCTCCAATTATGGCTTGCAGTTGGTTCAGAATGCTGCAGCTTGTTTCCTTACAGGATGAACAATCTTGAGTGCATGAATCCCATGTTTGGTTCTTAACCCTGGCTTCCTGTTAGCTGCAGGATTTGCTCTAAGATTTTGTTGGTTTTCAAATGTTTTAATGGCATAGATCCCCTTTTTCTTTCCGAGCATCTGCGAGTCCATGTTCCAGTTGGTCAACACAATCAGCAAATCAAGTAACTTAGGTTGTGCAGAGATGATGGTTGAAAACTAGAGGGGGCCAAGCATTTGCTGTGGCTGTGCCAAGACAATGGAATAGTCTTTCTTTTAGTCTTTGTTAAAAACCTCTCTGTTGTCACTGGTCTTTAACAGCAGATTCTTCTATTATTTTGAGTAGCTGTTGGTATTTTACCAGTTCTTATTTCTTATCATTGTTTTATGTTGTTTATTTTTTATCTTGTATATTCATATTGGCTTAATTAACAGCATTTCCATCAAGGGTATCTGTATCAAATGTAATATATAGATAAAATTGACATTGCCATAACTTGAATTTAAATGCCTTGCAAACGGGCACATTGACATGTTGCAGGTGGAACCTACAAGCAAACCATCAACTCTGATATAACAAGACAACTTTTCTACCCTCTGAACCACAGTCAATATAAACACAAACATCCTTAACTTTAAAATAAATAAATTCTAACAAGCAAAAACAAGCTTAAGCATAATTATGTTTGCTTCCTTAGAAACGCCTCAAAAGAAAAGAACATTGATGAGAAATGGACAAGAGAACTTGTTTAAGAAACTGAAGAACCCAAATTTGGAAAAAGATATTTAGATGTAAGCATAAGCGTCGTTAGACCTATTTAAGGGTGGCTTCAGCCACCCTTTCTTTGGCATTAGCCACCCTATAATTATTTTGCAATTTTAAAAAATATATATATTTTTTTCTGTATTTATTTTTTCCTCATATTTTCCCAAAACAAATGCAGTAAAGGACCGAATAAAAGCCATAAAGAAGACAAGTTAATCTGAACAATCATAGGCGTAACTTCCTTAAGGACTGGTGTGGAAATGTCCCCACCAATATTTTGTACACGTATTTTGCTTTCGGTGCTGTGTATATCTGATTAAAAAACCCCATTCATGCCGCTCCTCAGAAAGAAAATAAAAAAAAAGTTCTCCCCGCTGCTCACCGTCCACAAACCCCGACAAAAAAACTCAGAAAAAAGAATCTGTTGCCTCTCGCTTTCTCCCCATCACCCCCCTCCAACCTCTCCCCATAACATTTGAATTGAAGATATCCGCAGGTGACGGGTCGGGTTCGGTCGTCATCCTAACGGGTTCGGGTGGGTGCGGGTTGGTAAAACTCGACCCATGCTGGTCTCTAAGCTACACTACATTCAGTATCGTTGCCATAGAAACAGACAACAGCGCCAATATATCAGAATTATACTAAAACACACGCAAATAATTTCCCACATAAAAACAGGACTTTCAGTCCATTACAGTTTTCCGTTTTTAGAGGGTTGTTTATTTTGCGTTTATTAAGTGATGGCTGTGGTATATTAGCTTTCACTGCTATAAGCTTTCGCAGCAGTGATTGATTAATTTAAACACCTGCTCTACTGATGGTCTATCAGAGTTGGCGTTTAGGTTGAACATAAAGAACACCTTTTATTTGAAGCTTCTTGTAGCTACTGTTTTAATCCCGGCTTCACTTAAAACTTTTTCCTGACTTTGATAGTGTTGCCATTCAGTAGCAAGCACTGCGCCCCTTTTTCTTTTATATGTACATTTAAGATTTAGCGTGTTATGTTGACAACTCATGAGCAAGCTGCTTTTTGCAATCTAGCAGGAAGGTAAGGATAGGATCTTGCAGGTGTGACGTCACTCTGCAGGGGGTCCAAAGATAAAAGATTTAAACAATTTTGGCATTGGAATTTCAGATTTAAGGGAGTTAGAAAGTTCACTTAGTAAAAGTGCAAATAATAAATCTGATTACCGATTACTTTTAAGCTGGTTGAACATACTGCGACAGACTGGTGACCTGTCCAGGGTGATCCCACCTCTCACCCAGAACGTGGCTAGAGATATGCACCAGCACCTCCTGATCCCACTGAGGGATAAGGTTAAAGAAAATGGATGGTTGAACATAGTCCGCTCTCCCAGATTCTATCAAATCAGTATTGATACCCTAAGGGGCGGATTTAGGAAATTTGGGGCCCTAGGCAAAGACAGGCAGGGGGCCCCCTGAGAAGTAAACCCATAAAACAGACCCATTCTACAGATAGAGAAATGTTAATAGAATAGACATCCATAATTTGTTCTAGGTTTTGTCCCTCTCTTCTTGTCCCTTTTTCCTCTCTATTTATCAGCGTTCTGATGGCATTTTAGCCAAAGGATTTTTTATCAAAAACATAATTAATGTGCACAAATAAGGATTAGTTGTATTAACCATACATGGAAACAGAGTTTTATGGGGCCCCCAGAACTTGGGGCCCTGGGCAACTGCCTAGTATTGCCTAATGGTAAATCCCCCCCTGGATACCCTGCTAGTGGATGTTCTTGACAGAAAGACGGAGTTGCTTAATCATATTCTGCTTAAGGTCCCATAAGATCTTGTCCGAGTCCTGGTTTAAAAGTAAATTAATTTTAAAAAGTGACCCAAAATTGACTGTCAATAAATGTTCTACAAAATTGATATATTTATTTGATTTCTTTGATTTGTACTGTCTGTTTAGATTTATGTGATATTTTTTGCACAAAATATATAAGTGAATATTGTAACAGTTATGTTTTCAACTGTAAGCATTAAATTGATAAATGTTATTCGCATTTTTTTGGCTTTATCCTTTCCAACAAAAAAAAAAAGGCGTCGCGCAGGTAGCTCCCTTTCCTTATGAGCCGTCCCCACCAACTTTCAACACAAAGTTACACCCTTGTCTTAGACAACGCCTTAGCAGGTGCACTGAAAAAATTCGGCGCACGCATTATCTTCTAGGGGCTAAGCCACCCTTGTCTCTTAAACCTAGAGACGCCCCTGGATGTAAGGTCTTAACTTCAGTTAGGAAAAATGTTAATTCCAGTTTTTAGAATGACTTAGAATTGCTAACTGCAATGTTCTGCATCTAGATAAGAGCAATTAGTGCTATAACAGCTTTTAATATTTTTCCACTGTATCTTTTGTAAATAGCTCTTAAAAATGTAATTAAATACAGATGATCAGACATTTAAAATATGGCTTTGTTTACAGAAAGATGTACCATATAGAGAAAGAGACAATACTGAATTGAAATTTTCAGGATTTTGGTGAAAGACACATTTTTAAACTCAGACTTGCCTTATACAAAACATAATGCCAAAACAAGACTTTATCTTTGTATCACCACAGGTTATAAGCTTTTGCTTCTTTCATCCCCTTTTCAAGCCATGTATTGTTTGTCATTATATGTATTGTAAAATGTGTGCAGGTTTGAAATAAACTTTTTGAATTGAAAAAACCCCCAAAATGAATTGAAAAATAAAGTCCCAAGCATTGTTGTACCTCTGTTTTATAAAGAGCTTGCAGAACTGATTTTTTTGAGGTGCTGATTGTTTTAAAAGTTTTTTAAATCACTCTCTGAAACTATTGAGTCGCAATGCTGCAGGGTTTCTGTCAGAAATTGTTTTCTAATGCAAAAAAACATTGTAATCAAAGACTGTATAATGTATATATTATGTAATGTATATATTTTAGGACGGTCAAAACAAATCAAAAAGAATTAGGTGCGTAGACCGGCAATGATTGAAATTTCATTCTGGGTTTGTGTCAACAACATTAGGGGGACACTCAACAGGGTCTTTAAGATGAATGAGGAAGGACACTTGCATTCCTGCAGATGTCTGTTCATTCTCCCTCTGACTCCTGGGCTGCAGAGCTTGTCCTTCACTTCCTGCTAGTGAAGGTTGCTCGACCAAACCATCTGCTGGTGGAGAAATCGTCCTATCACAGCGTCCAAAAACCTGTGAGTTGTCTGGAGTTGGGGAATTGTCAGGCATTGCCCTGGTTGGGGATATAGAGGACCTGTTGCGATCTTGGACCGTAGCGATGGAAAAAGTTTCAACTCGAGGATCGAGCCCAGCTAGTCACTGTACTAAAATGTCTGTCTCTGTTCTCCAGCTGCGAAACTTCCTCATTAGCTCTGTCTGCACCTGCAACCAGAGAAGAAGAACCTATTAAAAACATGAAATACAATTATATTTTCTTATTTATTCAACTAATTTAGTTAGACAATGGCAGTCATACAGTGCTTTGCTACTGGAATTTTTGAGCACAGGAGTGATTTATTATACTTGTGCATGGTTTGATAAATCGGAAACATTTGTTTTTGCGTATGCCATTTTGTAGGTTTTCAGCGTATGTAGACTTTTAGTATAAATCCCAGGCAATCTTTAACAAAGGAGATCCCAGGTCTCCACCAGCTTCTATAATTATTCCAATCTAATATATGTATTTAAAAGCACCAAAAGCAGCATTTAAAATCACTATATCTCACAAAAAAAAATCAAAAGTAGAGTTTGTAATTTGAGAACAAATCAAGATAAAATGCAGTAGCTGAACGACCTCCAGCCGTAACTTGGTTAAGCAGATTCTTTCTCACATAAACAGTTTCTTGCTTTGCATTTGAGAAACAATCTACGAAAAGGTTTGAATCGTCAATTGCTTAACCCAGTTTTGGACAAGACTCAGGTGCTGAGGGTCTTACCTTAAGCTCCAAGTATTCTGACATGGAGAGGAGTTGTTGGAGAACTCCCTGGATGTAAACTTTCTTGATTTGGTGTTTAAGCAACCCATGGCTCTTTAGACCCTCTTTTAATTATTTCTTTTTAAGTTTTTAACCTATTATTTTTGTCCAAAGTTAAAGAATAAATGATCAGTGACTTAAAACTTAGTGAGAAAAAAAAGAAATACCAAGCAGTTATGGCAATTTTGTTAAATAAAGTCAGATTTTTTGTGAAGCAATTTATTCTTTAAAGAATCTTGTTTCTCTTGTGGCTCTAAACTAAATTTTTTTAGCAAGTCAAAGGTCACAATGGCTCTTATTGTTTTAATGCCCTAACCCCTGGTGTAGTGTAGGTCATGTAGCAAACAAAACAATTCCATACCATACCTTCTCCACCACCTAGTTGTTATGACATGTTTTTGTGGAAATAATACATCAGATCGCACATGTAGCCAAACATCTGTTCATTTTTTTTGTCCAAACAAATTCCTCTTGTGGTTCATGTAGATGTAACATAAAAGCTTATGTTTCATTGCCTTAGCCACTTATTCCAACAGCTGCTCAGAAATAGCAGTTTGGTCTTATTTGAATTGTGCATCCATTAACTGACGTCTACCATGCTAACTAAGACCTTTAGTCCTACATGAAGCTTCAGGCTTTATTGCAATTTTCTGAGCATTATAAGCTCTGCTCTCAGGGTTAATTTACTAGGAAGATTGACTCTCTTAAATGTTCTCCATTAGAAAAAAACATTCTCTCTCATTGTATGGACTTTAGATTGCCAGAAAATGGCCTTTGCAGATTGATGGGAGGCAATACGTGACTGCTGCCAGTCTGTTTTCACTGTCGTTGTGTTAAGGTTAGCGTTTGACATGGGGAAAAAGTGTAGGAAGGAGACTGGGCAATGTGGTGACTTTGAAATGTTTCATATTAAAGATTTAGAGCTAAATATGAGGTCATAGAATCAGAGTGGACTGACAATAAGAAATAAAAAAAAAACATGTAACAAGCAGAAAGCTTATATACCCTGGAGGTATGATTAGAGAAAAAGAAACTGGGGGAGGACATTTAGGTTAATGATGAGCAGCTGAAGAAGAGCAGGACAACTGAGGGAGGATGATGATAACACACCTAACTGAGGAACTATAAGCCACAAAGGAAATGAGTCAAACTCCAACAAAACAGTTCAAACAGAAAAAAACAAAACAGAAAAAGAATAAAGAGCTATAAAAGACCTAGACCACCATAGTGACTCATCATGAAGCGATCAGAAATGACAAAAAGAAAACCAAAAACAAGAGCACAAGGTCATGAATCATTATTAATGTCTTTCTTCTGGTATGTTGTGATAACAAATGGGCCTCCTCCAGGCTTACTAGCTGCTAAAGTTTCCAATAATGACCCAGGGGAGGTTTAATTTGTTTTTTAAATCTTAGATTAAAGTATTTTAAACTGGTGAAGTGTTCATCAGTAACGTGTCCCTTCAAATGTGTGCTTCTTCTTATTCATGACGAGGGGGCAGCAGTGTAGGGAAAGACTCCAACACTTTCCTCCCCACAGAAACCTCTTTTGGCTCCATTGGCGCACCTAGGCCAGCCGATAGACATAGTCCCTTCAGTGTGTCTTGGGTCGTCCCTTGGGCCTCCCTGGTAAGATGTGCATGGAGCACCTCCTGAGGGAGGAGTCAAGGGGCATTTAAAACAGATTTCAAAGCTGGCTGAATTGACTCATTTTGATGTGGAGGAAAAGCAACACTGTTCTAAGCCTCTCCCAGATGAACCAAGCTCCTCACCATTGCTAAGATAGTGGCCAGCAAGAGGAGAAGGCTAAATTCAACCACTTGTATCCAGCATCTCGTTTTTGGACCGTAGGAGAGGGTAGGACTGGTAGATCCAGAGCTTTATCTTTTGGATCAGCTCTCTCTTCCCAACAACAGACTGGTGCAATGTCCAGATCATAATGATAGCCGCACCGCTCCGTCTTTCAACCTCCCATTATATTTTCCTCTCACTCATGATCAGGACTCTAAGATACTGGAAATCCTTAACTTGAGGCAGGAACTCTCCTCCAACCTGAAGGGGACCAGCCAAGTTTTTTCTATCAAGAACCATGTCGTTGGAAAAAGCCATGTTGCTGAAATCAGAAACAACCACTGGTCTCCTTATTCCATCTGACACCTTTATATGACAGCACCTGTTTTCTTTCTCACTTCAGAAATGAAAATAAATAAAGGTCACAAACCTCTTTGTTTGCGTAGCAGTAGAGCACAGACACCAGTAAGCCCTGCAGGTAAAAAAAAAAGAATAAAAAATCCTGTTTGGTTGTAGGGATGTGGGCTAAGAATTCTTAAAACAAAATGGGTAATTAGATTGTGTCGTTGTACTGTCCATCATCTTTTTTTTTCTTTTCCTGCACCTACCTGAAATGAACTGATAAATAGAGTAAAGAACACTTTTATGTAGCGTAGAACCCCTGTTGTCTGCTCATCTGTGGCAAAGATGAAAATCACCTCATGAATTCCAAACAGAGGAATGAGGGTGAGGGTTGCCTTGGCAAGCCTGGAGGCAAAGGGAGAAAACTCACAAAATTAGGCTGCATCTTACACTTTGTTTGGACCAGACTTTGATATTTTGAGGAAGGAATTAAATCCATCTTATCTGCATATTGTAAAGTACTTCTGAGACTTACCGTAGTTTATAATCTGGATATCGACTTTGGATGTTGGCTCGTAGTTTGGAAAATATTACCCCCAGGATCTTCATGAAAATCAAAAAGTTGATCTGTTGTTTGAAAAAAAAAAAGAAATACAACACAGAGATGGTTATCTTAAGGATTAATTGACATACCTATTACATCTATCATCCAAGCCCCTGAAATCTTCATACTTTGGAACAATTTGACACAAAAATAAATACATTTTACTGTTTTATTGAAATTCTAAGAAAATAGGGAATAATTGTGAGGAAAATGTACATGGCTTTTTAATGGGCACCCATTATACTTCCTTTAGAACATTTAGGGGGGACGCATTGACTATAAAAAAAAAAAAACATCTTAATGTTCTAATTTTACAAAATCATAAATGGGTTTCACCTCCTTAATTTGCCTTTTTTTAAGCAAAAACGCATTTCGGCTGCATGCCATCATCAACAGACTTCATGCAAATGAAATGCTGTCTTACTGGAGTTGGTTCTGAAATCTATTTTTGTGTATCTAATTTTTTTTTTTTTAGCCATCACAATTATTGTTATATCCATCTTAATTCTTTTTATTTGTACAAATATCTATATCCCTCAACAGACTTGCGACCTGTCCAGGCTGTACCCCTCCTCTCATAGCCTGCAAGAGATAAGCACCGGCCTCACCGTGACCCTGATGGAATTAGTGGGAGAAGATGGATGGATAGATGTATAAATATCAGGTTCTACAATATCTAGTTTGTTTTATATTCTTTTATTATATACAGTGAATATTGTTATCACATCTACACAAATAAATTATTATTCACATTATTCACATACTTGTCTAACCAAAGACAAAAATGCTGTTGATAAATATAAATATATTTAGATATGTTGCTCTTTTTCAATAATCAAATTATTCATCATCTAGTTAATAAATAACACCACACATTTATATTTAAAACCAGCAAGTTGTATTTGAAATTAAAAAAAGAAACTCATTGACACTTTAGATCTTATAATGTTACAGTGGAATAAATAAAAAAATGTTTTAGTGCTGAGCTGCAGCAGTGGAATTCAAGAGATGTGCTACAATCAGAGCATAGTATTTTTTCAGACATCTGGAAATGACCGCAGAGCTGTTTACTTTTTGAGAACTTGGCATTAATGTTGATATAAATCAAGTTTGGGATTACCCATGTTTTGGACCAATGTTCTCAAGGGAGAACAATACGCTTCATCTTGTCTCGTAACCCAGTTAATTAACGATGTGATTAATGTTATGCTTTTGTCATTATTTAGCAACAGATCCTTATTTTCTCTTAGGTGGTCAGAAATGAGATGGAGACTGAATTTGCTTCTCCCGCTAATGTACATTTCTGAAGCAGAAGCTGCAGTTTCTGTTAGGGACAATCAAGGTGTCATGATCTTGGTACTGATGACTGGCTTAATTACTCTTTCCATTCACCTGTCTTACCGTGCTCAGTTTCTAATCACTGCTCATCTGATCCACCTGCTCCTGCCTCTATTTAAGGAGCTTACATCGATTTATTAGGGCCAGATTATTCTTTTATTTTCTAACCAGTGGTGAAAGTGTTTTTAGAGTTCCTTGGTGTGTCTTTATCCTGATCCTGTACTGCCTCTCAACTACTGAACCTGTCTGTTCCTGTCTGAACCGTTTGCCTGAACTGTCTTTGGACTTCTGAGCCTGCCTGCTTCTGTTCTGATCTGTTTTCCTGACCTGGCTTCAGACTCTTGGATCTCTGAGCCTTCCTGTTTTGATCTGTTTGCCTGACCTGTCTTCCGGGGCTGCAGCATCTTGGACACTCTGGGCGGATCTTGTTGTCGTTGCCCACCAGCTGGATCCTAACTCTCTCTCCCCGGTTGATGGACTAAATTTGTAAACCCGCTTAGTGACTCACGTTCATAATCTTCCTCCATTACATTTACATGGTCACTAACCTGTGTCTCTCTCTCTTGCAGAGTTTACTGCCTCAGACGGCCTAGTCCCTGCTACTGCAGAACTGCAGATCCTTCATTTTTTAAATAAATACTTTTTAAATAATTCCACAGTCTATCTAACCTAAATACTGGGTCCTCTTTTCTGAGTTGTGACTCAAGGATAACATAAGTTGTTCATCCATGCAGGTAACAGAAAAAATGTTCTGCCTGAGCGATGTCATGAATTCCATCACTGTTTTCAAATAAAGCTGCCAAGTGCTTCAGTTCAGCTAATTGATAACTCGATTTAATATATATTTTTCACTCATTTAATTATATTCCTTTGTATTTATTAATTACTTATTTCTGTATTTATTTTTAATTGTCAGAGTTGGTCCTCCATATATAGTAACATGTCACTCTTATTCTGCTTACATAACAATGTAGTTATATGCTTTAATATGTGGGGCTGAAATCTTTCATAATCTATAGGAAGATCAAAGGGTGCTACTTTTTAAAGTCTCTGAAAGTGTATATAATGTCAGACGATGACAAATTAAATGTGTCTGAACAAACAGATGGGAGCTGATCTGTGTGTGTCATCATTACGAGTGAGGCTGTAAGAACTGGAAAGCGAATGATCCACCAGTAGTTCATGTTCTCATTAACGGCCCAACATCTGGAAGAGAAAACGCACATACTGTACATTAAGCAGTCTTTATCAGTGGCACACAGAGTGTCGCTCCGACAAACACTGTCACTCACTCTTTGTTTTCCTTTTGTACCTTCATCACCACCCAGGGTACCACAAACAGGAGAGGGGTACCTGAGCATGACAGAAATGACAAAAAAAAAAAATCACCTCCAAGAAAACAAAACAAAGATGAACAATGCTGACTAAATGTTTCCATGGTTTGTGTGCACTGACGCCTCTGCTGACATGCACATATGTCACTCTGGTGATGAATGCATTCGCTTTCAAAGCACCTATTTGAATAAACTTTTAATGTAGTTTAATACTGAATTGATGATGAAAAGAAATTCTAACAGATGGCGAAGGAGAACATTTTAGCTGCATGAAACTTTTAAAGATGTGTCAAATCATTAAAAAAGTTACCTACCCCAGCCAAGACAGAGGTAGGGCAGGTATTTGTTGTTGTCAATGAACACACAGGAAATGAGAACAGAGTACAAATATATTGCTTCTCCAAAGAACCAGTAGTGATTGGCCAAGACGCAGTACTGCATCATAACCTGAGCAATCCGGCAGCCGATAGTAGCCTTTTGGAATGGGGAAAAAAATTATTACCTGAGGGCTTTTGCTGGATTTAGGCTTAGCCTAGAGATTTTGTGCAGAATTAAGCTTTTGATACCCACCTGATGACTGAGCATTGCAGTTACATCGGCATCATTGACAATTTCTCTCCCAAAGTGGTGATCCAGCATAGTGTCCTTTACAATGACGGCCACAGCCCGCAGGATGAAGGACAGAAACAGGTTGGCGTGGATGTAATTTCTGGTACAGTGCAGTTTCCTGTTCACACACATGACATTTGAAATGTGTTAATCAGATTCCAAAATCCAAATTTTCAACTCATTTTAGGATATGTTGCTTTTAGATTAAACAGAAAATCACCAAGCTGAAACGAGTTAATCTTTTTTTGTATTATGTGGCAAAAAATATATAACAATCTGAGAGAAAAGAAGAATTGCCACAATGGAGGGGAGGTATGTTCATTTAATTAAAACTTTCTGTTCATTCATTCCTGCTCTGATATTTGACTACAGTGCAGTTAGAATGTATGACGGGTTGTAAAAGCAAAACAAACAAACAAACAAAAAAAATCATAGACCAACTCCACCACTTGTCACCTTTTACATTAACAGTTTGCATTAATGAAGCACAGGAAGAGACATTCTGTTCTATGTTGGGCTGTTCCGCTGTGACGAGCAGACAATAAGATACTATAAGAAGCTGCAAAAATGTCTAAAATGTCATAGAGTCCTGAAGCAAGTTTTTTATTACAGTTGAGGTTAAACTTCATATCTGTCCAATCAGAAAGAGACAAAATAAGTTGAATTCCACTGGAATGTGTGCAAGAAGATAACCTTGGTTCTATGAGAACGCCATGACTTCATTTTGAAATTTGTCTGAGAGAACATAGAGAAAGCATCCTAAACATCCTTTTTTTCAGCTGTTATTGTCATTACACTGTCACAAGTAAAGACCCACGAAATGAACTCTTCAAACGCATCCCTTTGGGGAGCAGTGGGCTGTCATTGTGCAGCACCTGGGGAGCAGTGTGGGGTTAAGGGTCAGTCCATAGGAGTGGGGGTTGAACTCAGAACCTCTAGATTCCAATCTCAATGCCCTATCCACTAGGCCACACTTTGGGAAGCTTTGCTTCAGCAGGACCAGCTTACCGTCATAGAGTCCATGATGTATCAGGGGGTTTAAAGGAAAATTTAGATAATCAGACAGAAAATTATTCAAACAAATACAGGTACCTTTTTCAAGACTGAAAATGAAATGAAGTCCTGGGTTTGGTTAAAACCAAGATGCTATAGAGTGACCAGAAACAGGTTGGACATGCAAGGAACCTCTAAAACATCCCATAGCTAGTAAATACTAGTAACAGCAACACCATTGGTTCTACTTGCAACTAGAACATGCCGATTATTCAGTGCTGCAAAAGGAATCTCAAAACCTGAGCTCCAATGTTTGGCTTTAAACCCAAACTGTGTTGTTCTGATGATCTAGTTGGGCTCAAAAAGATCCATTTTGATGGTACCCAACCATCAGACAGTAGCTCAGCATAACCGGCTCAGTTGTAGAACCAAAGCAGCACAATAACTAGCTGGACAGCCTGGACAGCTTTAAGGGAAGGGAAAGTGCATGTTGTGGTTTTACTGAATAAACCTACTAAAATACAGAAGACTACATCTAGTTTATGCAAGACAGCTCACCTAAAGCTCAGGATAATGATTAGAGCCAATAAAAGCGTCGACAGAGACAAGGAATAGCCGACAGTGTACAATGTCCTGAAGCCCACCATCAGCTGTTTGAGCCAAAGCTGTGAAGATAAAGACACATCTAATTAGCGTCAAACTGAATAAAATGATATAGAAAAGAAATAATAAGAGAAAATAGAAATTACATCATGAAACCAGAAGGCCATGATAGTTGTTTATGCAGCATTGTGGAATTCAAATCCAAAATCCAAACACATGTTATTGATATACTGGATAAACTTTGATTTCTCTGATTTATTTTGCATCAAGACATTTCAGAGAACTTAAATACGGTGGCAGATGGAGGCAAATGTAAAGGCAATCTCTAAACTCAGTAAAAATGGCAAAAGCACAAGAAATAGCACTCATGTACGGTAATAATGAATGAGAAAGACTTTACAGCGCAATATTTTAGGCTGGACCAGGGCTCCAGTAAAGACATCAGTGAAATGACCCAAAGAAAGGAGGAAGGAAAGGAAAGAACTGAACATTTCCCTTCATGGCTTCTTTACACAAGTGGCAGAATATTCTACAATAGAACATGCTGCTGCCATATCTGACTTTGTTGAATTCCCCTAGTGTTATGGTGCACTTTAGTTTGTAATGACATTTTTCAGGTATTAAGTTATATAAGATAGCCTATTTGATGCCTTTTTTGCCTTTTGCTTCTGTGTTTAGTGTCAGCAGCATTTTTCATCTGCAAAGTTTACTCTCGTCTGTAAGGTTTTTAACAAAAAAAAAAAAAAAAACTAAACAAAAGAACAGAGCATTAAAAAAAAACATTTGATCCTTCAGATATAAGCTTTTTTGCCTTTGTTCTCAAAGATTATAGTGCTGATACATAGTCTGGACCGAAATGCCAAGGCAGGATGATTAGGTGAAGGTAATTTACAGAAAAGTAAAAAAAGAAGGATGAACATGCATGACCAACAGCAGGCATGGTGCTTGACATTTCAACAGAGAGGCATCAAAAGCATAAGGGGTGGAAAAACAAGTGAGAGGAATCAGCGGTTATGATCCGGCACAGGCAAACTAGTGCGGTTTAAATAATGACTGTGGTGGAGAGCAGAAACAAAAAACCTGGATAAAGCTGAGTAGGGATGCACAGAAAAGAGATCAACAACAGAAGCAAACAAATGCAGAAAGAACACAAGAATAAACTCGCAAATTAAATGTAAATATACAAATAGCAAAACATCTAATATTAGAACATTGCAAGACAAAAACACTAGGAAACATCCGCTCAAATTATAAACATGACAAAAGATGTTTTTTTTCTTCCTGCAACCTTATATAATAAAAACATATATATGTTTTGCAAAGTGTGGTAGAGACCCCAGTTGTACCTCCTGAGACGCCACCTCTTTTTCTTGCTCACACTCGCTGATGTCCCTCCACACATTCCCGCTTCCGTCTGTCTCCCAGAGTCCATTGGAACCACATCGCCTACGCACAGATCCCTGAGACACTAGGTGAAGAATAATTTATAAGGTAATTAGGGGGAGAGTTGCAGTTTGGGGCAGTGGGGAAATATAGAGTGAATAGCCATAATGGGTTGTTTGGCTGAAACTTATGAAAAAAATATATTTTTCTAAGTTTAGAGATATGTGACAGAAAGTTTTTAATACAAAAATTGCTGGTTTTGGAAAAAAAAACATTATTGCATGTCATTACACATCAAGCCCCAGTCTGTTGGCATGTTACGAAGTAGGTTTCAAAAGAACTGAAAGGTTTCTGATAAGGACACTGCCTTTGATCAATGTTTGTACCTGATTTTACGAAATCGACCACAAAAGCTTAAAATAAATCCTGCGTAAACAAAGCTCCGCCTCCTGCTACAAGGATGCAGACTTGTTTTGACATTTTGCCCAAAACTGTCTTTATCAAATTTTTTCTGGCATAGTATGTGGTCTGATTAAAATAATAAACTCCTTCCCTAAATAACAGCAATTATTAAACCACTGTTTAAAAAATAACTGTTTGGAGAAGTTGCTCCTGCAAAATTTACAGACTCCGGCAAAGTTAAAGATAACGCCATTAAAAAAGGTGTGCTTAAGCATCAAAATAACTTAAATAAAAAGACTACAACTGACACTGCCCTTATCGAGGTGTTCAATGACATTCATATAAATGTGGAAAATACAGTGCTGGTATTACTCTATTAATTGTAGCATTTAACATCTTTTTGGAACAGACAGCAGGCTAGTTTGAATCTACTTGACGAAAAGGGACTTCTTTTATCTACTTATAAAAAACCAAAGGAGGCTGTAATTGGTTTTGAGTCATTTGACTTCCTGATTTTGATGAATTGGTGATGCCGGGTGAGAGAAACCTTATAAGATTAGGTTTTCCTTTGCTCTTAAAGGTATACTGTAGTAGAGGATGCTCTTTTTCTGGGTGGATCGTAAAAATAAGTGGTCCTCCTAATTGTCAATAATTTTGGTGAAACGTAAGGCCGTCCTACGTGCTCATCCCCATTTTCACTTACCGGTGGTGAGTCTGACATTGTGGAAAAATTGCTAATCTTCTTTTGGAAAGTAAGCTTGTATGAGCGATACCAAAAGCAACTTTTAAACAGAGCGTGCACGAGGAGAAATTGGTTTGTGCATGCTCTCGCGTTCCCTCTAAGAAGCAGGTACAAGGTTGTGTATGTGTAGTTTTCTTTAAAAGTGGAATTTTCAAAAATCCTCCACTATACCTTTAACTGAAGCTGTAAGGTGTTTTATTTTCCTAATCACATTAGTTCCATTATCAATCTTCACCAAAAATACTTTTTTCTGTCATTTTTCGGCTCTGTAGTAAGGATTTAAAGAGCAATAAACTCTCTCTGACTGAAATACAGATGATAATAGAACACAGGTCAACAGAACGAAAGAGGGCAGACTGATTGTAAAGGGCAGAAAGAATATCCATACCTTTGTCAAACCAGGGCAGGTAGAAAGGACATGAAATGTTGACCATCAAGCCTGCAGGGGTATCTGGCCAGCAGGCATATCTGTCAAATGTCCTGTTGCAAAACAAGCCTTCTAAAAAGATAAAGAAGAACAATTCTTATGGTTCAAGACATAAAAAAGATGAAAAAGTAAACCCATAACAATTTTTTATTCAATTTCATCAATCTGACTCAAATCAATAATAAAACCATTAACCAGCTGATAAAATGTAGTACATCTGAGCCATAGAGAGGAAGATTATATTCATCATTTACTTTCTGATTTATACCTTGAGGTAGTGGCTCATTTTTCATCATTTTGATACAGTCTTGTTTATATTGAACCCACTTCAGATAAGTTTCTTCCAAAACCTTCCCGAAGCCAGACTCCAGCTGTAAGAATAAGCAAAGAAGGCAGAGCATCAACACCAACTGAGGGCATCATCTGTAGGAGAAATAAACAACATTTGTTCAGAACTAACCTGTGGCAGCATAAAGAACAGCAGACGAATCAAAGCGTTTATATTGTGTGTGCCTCTCATCACTGCAGATTAGGGTGCTCTTTCTTTAGAGGCTGAGAGGAGAAAACATCTGATCAGACAATAACTGATGACTGTTGCACAACTTACAGTAGGTTATTTAAGGGTGTATTAGTCTATTTAGTCTCTATAGTCTACTAATAGTCTATTTAGTCTTTGAAATTTAGTTCTGTATACAATCCTTGTATACAAAATGACAATAAAGTTAGTCTAATTCTACTTGAAAACAAGTTTAATTCTTACACCATCAGCACACTTTCAATGCTACTCAAAAATACAGATGTTTTAAAAAGAATTGCAGTCCCTTGCAAAGGTAGTTCAGTGTATTTTAGAAAAGTGATAAGCAAAGGATGCATGGTTATAAAAAGTGGGATTCAATTAAAAAAAAACAACCTAATTTCACTGCAGTTGCAGTCTTTTTGGTGAATGTCTCTACCAACGTCGAACCACTGGACGCCTTTGCCAAATCTTCTTTGCTTTAGAGCTCATTGATATTCAAATTGATATGATATAGACATTTGTTTTCAAGTCCTGCCACAGCCGATACAAGCCTGGACTTTGACTGAGCCATAATTGACGGAAGGTTTAGGGTTTTTGTCAACTGGATGTTTAAAGGAATAGTACACCCAAAACATGATTAGCCTTCATTTTCTACTCACCCCCATGCTGAACAACACTCTGGAGTACTTTTTTGATATCTCAAATGCATCTGGAGATCTGGGAGGCTTCTTGCTGTCTGCTGACATTCAAATAATGGAGGTCTATGGTGCCCGAGACAGAAAGGTCCATAAAAGTCCACAAAAAACGTGTCAATATTCCTCCATACTGCTCGTCCAATATATTCCAAGTGTCCTGAGTGGGTAGCATCCAGAATTTACTCGAAACGAAGTCATTTAGAATGTTTTTAGAGCATAAACAGTAGTGTATAGGATTTCCTGAAAGCGCGCGCCTTCGAGTTCACGACGCTACGGAAACCGCGGCAGACCAAACCAGATGAAAGTGCGCATTCAGCTCGGCAAAGAACTCATGCTCTTCCTCAACACTGAAGTCCTCAAACATTTTTCTTTCGTTGTTTCTTTCTTTGCACAGGTAAACAGCAAATTTCTTCTTCTACGCTTGCATTATCAAGAGCAGACGCTGAATGCGCACTTTCATCTGGTTTGGTCTGCCGGCTAATCATGTTTTGGGTGTACTATTCCTTTAAACTCAAAATAAAAGAAAAAAAAAATTCTGCTTTAAACTTCTACAGTATATGTTACTAGTGGTATGGTGGGCGTTGTCCAAGCAGTATAAAAGCAGAAGCTGGGAGCATTTCTGGGAAGGTGTCAGTTTCCGCCAGAACGCCTCTTAGTTCCAAGCATGTTATAAATTTGTCAAGAATGTTGGTGAGTGTTTTTAAAGAATGGGGGTTATATTAAATTTTTATTAGGACAAATAGACATTTTTATTGTTTGTTTCTTTTTAGGAAGCCCTAACAGACCAGGCTGTGTATGCGGGGAGATGAGGGGGATGTACACCATACACAGGTATTTTTAGAGATTTTAAGGTGGTTATTAAAACTATAAATTGATTGCATTTTTTGTGATTTGTTGTTTTCTGTTTGTTTACAGAGATGGTTTTTGTTGCTCCTGCTGTCCTTAGGTTTATGTTGTTTTTTTTTTGTTAGTCCAACCCTGTTTGGTGTCTTTGGTCCCATTGTTCACTTAGGAATCTTATCTGTTTTCCATTTAGTTGTTGTTTTTTTCCTTGGTCACTCTCCCAAGCATACTGTGAGCTGATAGACAATATTATATCTGATCTGATCGTTTGCAGTGTTCAATGGTGATCGTGTGCAGTGTTTGCTTTTCACCTGATTGCTGTGAAGCCTTATATAAGTGTGTGACTTTCTTGTTCTGGTTATGCGGGTTTATCTGCCATCCACCAATGTCAGAGTGTAAATATTGTCTACCTTAAGCCATCAGAGTTGTAGAAAGAGAGGAAAAGGATTTTTTGTTTAATAAAGAACATATGTTTTTTTTAAGACCGAGTTTGTCTCATCTTTACTCGGGTTGTTACATATATAAGATTCTCCCTGACCTGTCTGCTAGGTTACTTTGTCTTTGTGATGCTTGTTGTTCTCTCATTCTCTCTAACAAACCTCTCAGACCAGAAAGAGAACCTCTGCATTTATAGGTTCCAATTCAACTAGACACAACTAGATGCTATTCTCTGATAAAATGACTTCTGAATAAAGGGTTGCACAGATAAAATCAAATTAAATACGTCAGTGCTTTCTGATCTAAGGGGACAAAATAAGAAAAAGTTTATGCAGCATATCTTTCAAAGGAGAATTGGATAAACAACCTTTGAAAATATGTACCAAAAGTTTCTTTAAAATAATTAAACCCTTAAGGTTGGAGAATTAGCTTTATATCAGATACTCTCGAGGTTCAGAGACTCTCTGATGATTCCCAAAAAGGAAAAGTGAATTGAATCTATGTATCAACACAATGGTTGACGTGATGAGGCTTAAGAACATATAACAGTCTTGCCTCTGTATCAGCTCTGCAAGTATCAATCAAATTAATTTAAAAGGCACAAAAGCTGAACCAGATGTTGCTGTATTCCTAGTAAACTGAAAGCAATGCAGATTGGAGAGCCTCAGGAAGAAGACACTTTCTGAGGAAGAATCCTTTCCTGGGTCTGAGAGTTGCTTTATCTCCAGAATCAGAGAGCTGCTTCCTTCTTCAAACAGCATCTCAGTAACGGATGAAAAAATATCCACATCTTCCTTTAGGTTTAGGTCGGCCTTGTATTCTTCCATTACTTATTTCTAGTCAAATTAGAAATACAGTTTAAGAATTCCAGCATACGACTTTTAACTCATGTTTTTTTAACTTTGTATTATATTTCCAATAAATATTAAATTAAATTCAGTTTATTTATATAGTGCCAATTCGAATCGCCTCATCTCAAGGCACTTTATAATTCAACCAGATCATAAATTTAAAATGATTCAGAGTTTTCCATCTAAGGAAAAGCAGTTGATTGCATCGACTCATTGACTCAAAGGCAATCCCTCACACTAAGCATGCTTGTAGCGACAGTGGAGAATAAAAACTCCCTTTTAACAGGAAGAAAGCTCCAGCAGAACCAGACTCAGAACCCATTTGATGACTTTTAAGCTTAAAAAGAATATTACTGTGACAGAGAAAAGGCATTTTAGTGCCCTGTCAGCCAAGGTCAGAGAGTTCTTTCATTCATACTTGGAGAAAGAGCCATAGAGCTCAGTTTTGAATCCACGTTTTTCAAGTTAAAACTATACACAATTGCAAGCCATAATTTATAATAATTATTGAAACATATATTTTATAAAAATTTTTTTTTTTTTTTTTTTTACAAATGTTCTTTTTGAAGCATTCTGTTCTCAGTTTCTGAGAACATTGTGTACCTTTGAAGCCACCCAGGGGCCCAGAGCCCCCATCCTGAAACAGACTGTTTGTTTCTAAATGACCCAATAATCAATCAGACATTAATATATACTTGGAAACAGGGATGAACCAGTTTGTTTGTACAGTGGAATTAACTTTAAACTTGGTTCTGAACACAAAATTTATTTTTTAAGAGTTATTAGCTGAAATCCTGTTCCTCATTCCGGTTCTGTTGTTTTCTTTAAATTTTTCAAACTTGTTACTTTAAGAATCAGGTATCGAGAAATTTATTGTCATTTCATGACCAGAGACTCTTGAGATAGAAGGTTTACATGATACAGAGACAGAGATTAAAAACAATTAGTATAAAACACCCTCAGAAGGCATAAAATAAGAACACAGAATTAAAGTGTGTGGGGTCTGATTGTCAGCAGTGGGGGTTTTTGTGACTGGAAGGTATAAAGGTAAATGATTGGGGCTTGTCCCAGAGGATGGGAGCCTATTTGTTCTTGATTTGAAGCTGCTGAATAGTTTTCCTAAAGTAAGAAGAACAAACAGATATTCTTCTGGCACTGAAAAAGCTGCAGAAGTATAAGAAACACGAAAGTAGGACTTAATATCGCAAAGAAGCTTTGCTTTTTGAAGCACCGAGACAGAGGAAATGGTTGGAAAGTTTTGCATACGGTACTATTTTATTAACATGTTCACTGCAAAAATTTTAAATCTAAATACGTTTTTCTTAAAATTTGTACTTTTTATCTTGAATTGAGGAGGTAATAGAGACATTATGCCAATTGAGCAAGACAGTTCACATTTGAAATAAGAAAAAAAAAATGCATTGTCTTATTTCAAGTGCATATTATCTAATTATCTTATTTCAGTAGTAAAAATACTTATTCCATTGGCAAATCATATTATTTACCTACTCAAATTAAGGGTAATTACACTTAATGTAAGGTATTTTTGCATTTCTTTTTTCTACACAATTCATTTTATGCCACATTGTTCAAATAGGAAGAAGTTTTATTTCTAATAAAATGGATACATTCTAAAACAGTGAAATTAATTTCTCTTTGACAGAAACTCACTACCAGTTTAGACCAAGTGTTAATTATCTTCACGTTTTCCTAAAAATATATATAATTTTTTATTTGTAGATGTTTTGAAGCTGTGTCAGTGAAAACCAGAACAGACATCAGCTCACTGAGTTGGGATAAGGTGCAGCGCTGAGTGACAGCCCAAAGATAAATCCAAAGTATCGGTCGTCGGGGATATCATGTCCCTAGCATTGATAGGGGGTCCAACCTCAGGCTCAGTTAAGCCTCCCACTCCCAGTGCACTGCAGAAACATTGATCTATTTGGCTTTTCCCCAGGTTATGGCATTTTGAAAACCACTGCCTGTAGCAGACTGAGGATTGATTGAAGGTTTGCTTTTTTTTTTTTTAGATCTGTCGATACAAGGACAGGCTGGAACTAAAAAAATAAATGAGACATTATTTTATGTTTTCCATAAGATAAGCAAAACATATTATGATGTAAAACATTTTTTTTTACCATGTGGGAAGTCAAAATACAAACCTATAAATTACTACGCTATTACAAAATATGTTACATAAAAACAACTTAACCAGTTGTACAATAAAGTTTTTGTACAGAAAAACAAATAAACAACCTTATCAAAACATGACAAACTATGATAGCAACGGTTTTGGTTGTGCAAAATAAGAATTTCAACTTAAATATTGCATTTTCTCTTTCACAGTAATATACTTTTTTAACTTTAAAGGTTTTCAAATGGGCACACATGTGGACAGTAGCTACGTTTACATGGACACAACTAATCGGATTGAAGGCCTGATCAGATCAAAAATGTTTCATGTAAACATGTCAGACTGAAGATTCTAATCCGATTCGGTCCGATCGGATCTAAATTTAATTCCGAATAAGAGAGGTGGTTTTTGCCGATCGCCATTCCGATTGGCGTCCATGTAAACACCCATTCGGATCTTAAGAGTAAAATAATCTTCACTGCGCATGTGTGCGACGTCAGCGTGACGTTTTTCCGCCTTGTCAACAACAGGAAACCACCGGTCGCTCTCGCTCTTGTTGTGAACAACATGGCGGGGGGAGTCTAGGAACGCCGACTTATACACTCAAGTTCATTTAAAGCTGCAGGAAGCAGGAATTTATCCTCCTCCTCTTCCTCTTTTCTCTCTCCACAGCCCACTCGCTCTCCCACGCCGGTTCAATCGCTCATTCTCTACATTTTCTCTCGTACATTTCGCTGCCAAGCGCTTTTTTCCTCCTCTCTCCTTTTTTCTTTCCGCTCGCTCCGAGCGCATCGTTTGTCAGGCCTCCCAAAAACCATGCGCAGACAGAACTGCCAAGTTTGGCAGGAAGTTCTGCGCATGCTTAAAAGATTTAATCTGATCCAACGCTTGGTACATGTATACACACGTCATGATCGGATCATTTCATTTAGTGTCCATGTAAACGGAGATTTTGAATTTCCGATCAACCAAGGTTTGGATCGGATCGGGGAAATTTTGCGCATGTAAACGTAGCTAGTGACATACATAGCACTGACAGACATTAAGCCCAGCCATCCCGCTATATACACTTTTGAGGATTTTATTTGTTTTATTTATTGTTTCCTTGAACCCCAGTTGGCCTCGGCAGATGGTCGCTCACACTGAGTCTGGTTCTGTTGGAGGTTTCTTCCTGTTAAAAGGAAGTTTTTCCTCTCCTCTGTCGCTACAAGCATGCTTGGTGTGATGGATTGCCTTTGGGTCAATATTTTAACTTTCCAACTATTATTTGCTATTCCACAACTTTATGAGAATTAAAAGTTTTTGTGATGCATGGCAGCTTGAATCATATTTTCCTCCTCTCTCTGAAAAGCAATATGTTTAATGCAATAGAAAATTATTGTTTGCTTTGAAACTCATTCTTGCTGTTTTTTAATCAACAGAAAATTGAAGATTCTATTTCATAAAATAATTTGTGTGTCTCTATATCTAGTGTAATTCATTATTCAGATGGCCTTACTTTCATTGAACTTATTGAATTCATGTAAGTAATGGCTTGTTTTCCCAGCACAGCAATGCTCTATCCCAGCTATCCTCAACAATTTTTCACATCCATTTTTTAACTAAGTATATGGTATAACTCTTATGATCTCACACCATAATGAACCTTGGTCATTTATTCTTCATTTTCAGTCATTTTATTTATACCAATGTCTTATTTTTCATTTCTTTTGTGACAAACTACAAAAAAAATTCACAATTTCATAATTATTTAATGTAATTTTATACTGGTTTACACATTCTTTTGTTACTCTGACCAGTACAAAACAACTCCTTGGAAACGAGACTTTTCTATTATCTAATTAAAATATCCAACAGTGACTGATTGGGTCAAATGACCTAGAGCTAAAACGATCTTGCAGAAAGTCTCTTTTCTTATTGACATATTCTGTTACTTCGAGGATCAATCAGAACCTGGATTGATTTCTAAAAGAAGCTTATATATACTTTAAAATAACCATCCCATTATAATTAAATATATTTTGGAGAGTTTTAAAGTAACTTTATCCCCTTTAGATGTTGGACTTGTTACCTGAGATCCCTCCTGCCTCTTGCAGAGCTGAAACTTATCAGTAATCAACAGAAATTAGTGAGCAGGGTCCAGTCAAAATAAGTCTACACTATAAATATACTTTTAATTGGGGCTGTTAATATGTGTTTATCTTCAGTATATTACAAGAACAGACAGTTTCCCCCTCTCGACCTATTAATAGTCTGCTTTGGCTGAGTCTGTGCTGTAGATTTAAAAAACATATGTAGGAAGATATAAGAAGATTTTGGCAAGATTCTCACAGCAAACAAAGAAATGCTAATAAGGAGCTTTAACAAGATGTTTAGAGTATGTTATCAAAACCAAATTTAAAGTTACATATTATTACAGGTAACAGTTGTAAATATAGAAACAAATGAAAGGGCTGCCAAATATGAGAAGCCAATTTTTCATATGCTTAGAGACTTTAAACAGCATTTTACAGTATCCTGAAAATGTAAACAAACCTGATTACTTAAAGGTGTCTCTATATAGGAAAAATCACCTAACTTTTCTGTCATGATTATGGGGTTTCAAGTATCTATAGTCCAAAATCAATTAAAATCATATGGTACAATAAAACTGCTAATAGACATCAGTCCAGATTATATTTTATTTGCAAAGCATTTTGTTGATCATGGCCCATTAAAAACTTCTAAAAATTATATATAAAGTTAACAGATGTGCTAAGTGTGCAGTTCCCTCCCTCCATATAGAACCAGGACAATTGTCTCCCTCTGCATGGATTATTGGTTAGACTATAGATGGATGGAACAGAAGATCCATAAAGTCTGCCCTGTTACAGATCAGATTTTCTAGAACTAATGAAATCAGAGTGTGAAGGAAACAGCAGCCGTGTGAGTGAAGTGGATTTATAATACAGTTAATCATTAGAACTTCATTATCTTGATAATGGAATGCTAAAAAACGGGTAGGATTCTGCAGGAACCTTTTAAACACAAGCATCTTGGCAGCATAACGAAATTAAAGTTGTGCAAAAATAATTAGCCTACTTTTCATCAAATACTTGAAACTGATACTATGGGTGATATAGGTGATAAAACTTTAGAACCACAATTATTCTAATTTTTAGGATTTCCAAATAAAAACATGAGGAGATCAGATCTATTTAATTAATTTATCATGAGCCATTATTGCTTAGAAAGGCAATTCCTTTCAAGTTGTTATATTTTAGATTAATCCAACAGTAAAACTGTATTAAAAACGAGAAGAATGTATTTTAATCTCACTTACTGTAAATGGGATCAGATGCTTCAGTCAGAGAGAAAAATCCACCTGCAGCCGCTCAGAGCAGAGACTGTGCAGCTCTGGGGTCTGATAATCAGTGACTTCAGCAGTGAGAGATGGGATGACGAGTGATGGAGAGACCAGCACACAATCCCCTCAGTCTCCCCGTAACATTCTCATTGATTTATCTGCTTGTTTTGTTAGTTTATGATACAAACAATGTTTTGCGCTCCAAAAGCTCTGTGCGTAAATGCAGCCATTCAGACATGATTAAGATAAATAGGATGGAAACATGAAAATTAAGAAAATATGGTAAAGCAATTCAAATTTAAACATCTAATTGCTCATTTATTTTCTGAAAGTAAAATGAGATATGTATTCTTATGAGATATGCAACTATAGCTACTAAATGATTATACAAAGCTTCTCTGTTGCCATAGCAGCCATGTGATGGAAAGCTATCATTGAGATAGTGAGAAATATGACTGATGATGGATGGATGGATGGATGGATGGATGGATGGATGGATGGATGGATGGATGGATGGATGGATGGATGGATGGATGGATGGATGGATGGATGAAAGAAGGATTGACGGATGGATGGACAAATGGATGGATGGATGCATAAAAACAGGCCTATTTTGCCCCTAGTTTTAAGATTTATGTAATTCAATTAAAAGATTCTCAAACTCTTTTTAGATAAGTTCAACACAGACCTATTAAATAAACATGATTTGACTATTTACATGGTGCATATTCATTTTAATGTACATTATTTAAAATATATAATTGTCAGTTTTAAGTATTTAGAATTAATAAAGTAGACTATACTTACTCAAAAGTAATAGTTGGTTTATTTCAAACACATAAAGTTTATTGCTTGAAATGCGATGGATGGATGGATGGATGGATGGATGGATGGATGGATGGATGGATGGATGGATGGATGGATGGATGGATGGATGGATAGATGGATGGACTGTTATGGCATTTGACAACTAAGTTGATTCTGCATGCAGTTTCATTTCGACTGGGTACATTTTTCTGTTTATATTCAGCCTGATGTTGTTTCAGGTGAACTCCATGAGGTGGAGACAGATCCAGCAGCTTGCATTATGAGCTCTATGCATGTATTCACATAAAGTTCTGGTTAAGTCTGCCTTTGTCTCTCCACTAGCTGCATTCTGATGCACTATAAAGCTAATTCCAACAAGTTAAAAAACAAACTACTGGAAACCACTTAACTTTTTTGTAATGATTATGACCTGGATGACTGATAATCTTCACCAGCACCATAGAGCTAACACCTGCAAACTGAATTATCACGGTATTTTTGTGAGAAATAATGTGTAGAGTAGAACTAAACCTGATTGCTACACATGAACAATCTAGCTTCTCAGGTTAATATGTAGCATTGGATTTATCTTTATCTTTTTAGTTCTTCATATAAAAAGCCTGCATGAGTTCAGGTGTAAAAAGAATGCTGTATTTGCAGACAGAGGGATAAAGGAAATAAAAATAAAAATTATATATATATAGATACACGCACATACATACATTTACCTATTTATATATATGTGTGTGTGTGTGTCATCTAAAATCATACATACAGTATCAATATATATTAACTCACAAAAAATATTGCAATTGTTTATCATAACATTTCTTTACTTAATGTAACTTATGCAACAGAATTTACGTAACATTAACACCAGTCAGTTCAGTCTGAAGGGAGGTCAGGGTCAGGAGTCAGGACTGTGTGGGATGGTTAACTACCACACTTGTTGTTCACTCAATTATGATTTCCTACGAGGTCTGAGCAGGTCAGTAGATAGATGTAAATAAATGTGTTCTTTGTTTAAATATAAGTATCAAGTTATTTAATGATTGCTTATTTAAGTGTGCTTACATAGCAAGAAAACTGATAAATAGTCCAGACCAGGATCTAAGGTGCTGAGTGTTAAATTCCCGAAAATTGAAGAGAGGTGATGCAGTATGCTCTGCCTTCGAAGAATAAACTTATGAAGACAAGATGGATCTTTTCTTTTTGTTGAAACAGTGTCTCACTTCTTGATAATTGAACATTTCCACAACATTAGATAAGTGCAAAAACAACATACGGAACTGTTAGAAGGAAATTAATGATTACAGCATGACAAAGAAATGCAAGGGATATTACAAAAAAAACAACAACTACTGAGTGATTTGGACAGAAAAAGATAACATTCAGAAAGAAAAGACAATGCATGAGAATCCTCCATGTACAGCAGGAAACGGACAAGCAGTTGAGAAAAGCTGAAAAACACAAAACTGAATAATGGGAGGAAAATCATTCAGGCCAGGAAGGGGAACGATATCCAGCTGGGTTTCCAGCAAAGATGAGTACTAAAAGGATAAAAGAAGAAAAAGCAAAGAATCATGCATGGAAGTAGCAAGAAAACAAAAAATGTGTAAAAAGATAATAATGAAGGGTTTCAGAGCAAATGTCTTGTTTTGAATCATATCTATGTTTTCAAGAAAAAAATAATAATTGAATCTGTCTTCATTATGTGACTAAATAAAACTCCAAAAGCAAGTTATCTAACTCTTTTAATCTTTCAATCTCACTCGGTATCTCTAATTGACTGTTAACTTGATAATACATGAAACCCAAAATTAACTTAGCATCTTAACATTTTTTCTTTATTTTCTGTAATATCTAACAAAGCCTAAAGATCTGTTGTTTTAAAATGTGTCCTTTGAGTCTATTCAAAACACATTTCATCACCTTGTGTATTAAAGCATCTCTACGGCTAAACATATGTTGTCTAGAAGAAATTAAACCAATATATCTCCTACATGTTAATCCTGATCTACCAGGCCAAGCTGAACAAAAGCTGATGAGATGTTTGGTAATGATATTTTCCATCTGCACTTTAGGAAAAATACTGGGTCAAAATGAAACGTTCAGTTGAACAGAGAGATATAGAGAAGCAATGTGTTGGAGCTATTAATGTTACTTTGTTGTTAAAAAAAACCAAAACTATTTACATTTAAGAAAACAGTATGAATTTCTTCATATTTTTTAGTACTTTTAGCAACTAACCTACTGAGTGGTTTTGGAACAGCCCAAACAGCTCTATAGACCAACTGTAAATCTCAGCAGAAGATTTGTAATTTTTTGGATCTGTTCCTTCTCCAAAGGCCTTGTTCTAGTATTTGACTAACCTTGAAAAGTTTGGTTTATAGGATTGCTAATGAAAATTTGTCTGACTGACTCACTAGCCTTTAAACCTCAAACTTCTTTGCACTCAACATCTGCATGTAGCAAGAAAGAGTTTTGAAAACCAAAGTTGTATTTTTGCCTTTTGATGATAAAAACAAAGGGTAATATTAAAAAAAAGAATTTTTTTCATCAGACTCTTCCGAAAAGCTCAACTAAAATTTTGTGCAGGTAAAAAGACTGTGTTGCTCCAAGGTCCAGTTGCTTCTACTCTGATTTTCAGGAGGTTCCACTGATGTCGGTTCAACATCCAATAAAAAGCAAGCAACGTTATGCATCATCCATCTCTGGTAAAATACCTACTCTGCTATATCACCCTAAAGTAAAATATTAATCATTTTACGATAGTAAATAAGAGAAATAATGATACTAAAAATGGCAACAACACTTCCACCTTACACCTTAACCCTTTATAGGGCAAGTTAGTGTTTTTGATCACTTGCACCCCTTACAGATGGAGCCCCCTCCCCATTCCTCACCGAGGTCTAGAAGAACAAGATCTATATCCATCCATTCAGCAAAGATGCTGCTACATGGCTATACATCTTATTTTGGTATTGACCAATTAGATGAGCCCTTGAATTATATATTGCCTACTGTAGATTAAGTTGGAAAAAACTAAGTTAACTAGTCAAGAAAAAAAAGGTAAAAAACTAATTGAAAAGTTCATGTGAAGCTAAAAAGTTAATAAGCCTAGTTAACAATTATATTTAGGTTTATAAACTCCAGTATCAGCATGAATGCCTCTAATCTGTTTCTTTCACTCTCAGTGTTTTTCATTATTTTCTTAAAGAAGCACTTTTGTTATTTTTCTAAATATATTCGGGCAAGTTAGCATTTTTTGTTATTACATTGACATACATTTTTGCCATCAAAATATCCATATTTTTTTTATGTTATAAAGGTAATAAGTATTTCACTGAGCACACTATAAAGGGTTAACAGCAAGACTACAACCAACTTCACTTTCTATTTCAACATGTGTTGCTAACAATGTTCTGTGAGTCAGTGGTAACTAAATACTTCAACATACTTAACCTAATATCATTCAGCTCAAATGCAGAGACAGATGAAACCATAATGCATCACTGGAAATACACAGGAATCCCTGCTTCTGCTCTGTGACAGTTTGAAGTACAACAAATAGTCTGAAGAACTTTTTCAATTAAGGTGACCTTCTGCTAAAAGTTATTTCCTTAGTTTTATCTTTCTTGTGCCCAAATCATGAAGCAATGTGGCCAATGCATTTCAGATGATTGAAATGTATTGTTGTTTACAATTGTGTCTTTATAGATTTCTCAGCTCCTGGATATTGGAAGATTAAAAAACCTGTATTCTGTTTATAACCAATCCTTTAGCATTCAATCTTACTCAGATTTAGCCCTGATTTTTCTCAGCATTAACTTTTGATGCCAAGGAGAGATGAGATATGTTGGATCAATGCAGTATAAGTGGGAGCAGAGCGGCCAGCATCAATTTATTCTCAGCTGCCTTATAACATCTCAAGAAAAGATGTTGGAGATATTTAGTTTCTATAACACATCCCTGAATTTAAACAAACAAATCAATAAATCATCAGAATGTAATTATTGGAAATACCTTCTGCTATATTCATGAAGCAACCACTGAATTTTTTGAAGGACAAGTTTTCTTTTAAAGCCCACGTCTCAAATTCTTGCAACTTTTAACAGTTTTTTTTTTTTTTTTTTTTGGGTCTGTCCTGGATTTAGCTCAATCCATCTTTACACCAAGAGTGCCCAGATTTCCTGTCCCTGTGGGAAAAAGCAAAACATCAGAGTGGGTTTGGGGTTATGTGTGGAGTTGGTTTTTCACCACTCAAAGTG